AAATAAAAACAAAAACCAAAAATATTTAGTTCATGCTTCTTTGTTTTTAATCACCTCAAATATCCTATGTGGCATATTAATTTGTGTAAAATTTCTGATTCAAGAGATCAAGAGACCGCATCTCACTTATTCTATTTTTAAGTTGTTCAATGTTATAATATTGGTTTCCGTTGGCGTATACCTTCCGTGTTAAAATTCCCCAAAGTTTTTCCATAAGATTCATGTTGGGACTCCTTGATGGCCAAGAAAAGAATTTTAACATTCATTCGTTGAAACAACGTTTGAATAGCTTCTGCATGGTGAATTGAAATATGAAATTTGGTTTATCAATTCTGTCATTATATACTCATTCAATACATATTCTAATAGTTTTTAGTTTCAGTATTTGTTTTTAATGGAAACCACATTATAGATGTATTATAACCGAATACAGCCCATTACACTTTGATCATGTTAATGTCAAATAGATCATAATCATTTTATATTTTGTCATCCTCAGTTTCAGAAAATTCCTGTTTATCAATTTTGAACACTCTTCGTCGTATTGAAAAATATTTTATTATTATTTATATTATTTATTTTTTCTAATAACTTGATATTTCTTGTATGTCTCGACATTTTTGGAACAAAGTTAAATATTAGGAACAAAGTAATGTAACGAAGGTGAAATATAATTATTGTTAGTTCGTACGTTCACTTTCTTTAAAAATGGCACTTGAAATTTTCAAAATAATAATAGATACTTATTTCAAAATATAGTAAACTCTTTATAAGTTTTGTTAGATCCTCTATTTTAGAGTTAGAAAGTTATACTCTTTCTTTTAATTTCAAGATCTGCATTTATAGGTACAAAAAAGTCTTACCACGTATTCATTATTTATCATTTTTCTTCAGATTATGTATCAAAGACTGATTTCGTTTTTAGTCGAAGATATGCCGCATTTAGAAATTGCCTTACATTTGTAGCTATTGTATATATTTAGATTTGGATTTTCTGAGAAAATAACGTTACAAAAGAACTTAAATCTTTCAACCGATCAAATGACAAGACATGCTATATATATTTTGTAAAAAAAAGGGAGAACGAATTTTGAAAAATTCATTTTATGTATATTACAAAAAAGTGAAATTAAATTATAATGTAATAACATTGTATGTATGAAATTTTGAATGAAAGTTTAAAAATGATCGTGGTAGGTTTAATGTTAATGATCTTTTGATTTTTTTTTTGCAATTTTTTAGTTTGAAAGGCTTATTTTTTTAAGAGAAAGACTCTGTTCTTTTTCTAGATTAGTTAGTGGTTTTCCACGACTCCTCTTTAAATAAGCATAAAATATGTTTCAAAATGTTTAAATTATCAATTAAAAAATCTTGTACTTACCTTATAAAATATGTATTATCGAAAGAATTTTTTAATAATAGTACTACGAATCTAAGATTATTTCGTTTTATTTCTACGATAATTTTAAGAAAATTTCTTAACAAATGGCTGTTCACTTACACGATTGAAACACAAATAATTGATGCAACATTAATCAACACAAATTGTAATATTTGTCATATCCTAATCACATTTTTTTATTTCTGGTTTTTAATTATCATATTATATCTTCTAAAAAGTACGGTGAAACATGAAAGAGAGATACTTTTACATACTTCGTATACATATTTCTTGTTTAAGACATAATATGTTAAAGATATAAATGATCTTTTGACTTTGAATGTTTAAAATATAAATGATATAAATCATATAATTCATATGCATAATTTTCCCACACGTTAACAATTCATGCTTTATATTTTATATATTTCTTTTATTTTAGACTTTTAATAAATAAAGTCAGTGCTATATATTGTATAAATGAAACTTCAATCGTAAAGAGAATTTCATAAATAGGTATTATCTACTTTTATTTAATAATTATTGAAAATTAAACTTAATGAAAAAGTAGCACTAAATTAAAATAATCAATCATGTGCAATTCTTGATCTAAGTTCTAGTAAGTCTAAAATTCTTTTTTTTTTATATTTTTACTCTAGTTGTTTCCTATTCGTGTTCAATCAACAAAGTACTATAATTTTAATAATTCAAATTGCATTTTCTTCAAACGTTACACATTATTTTCTGTCTATTGCATTTTCTTAACATCCACGTCATTGTGTTTACAACAAACATTATTTGTTACTAAAAATAAAGGCTATATAAATTATTTTTATATGGTATAATATCATAAACGTTTTATAGTTTGAGAAGAATATCAAATTATATCAAACTAAGAACACCAAAGAAGAGATAATTCATTAATTCTTATGATCTGATACCTATCTCTAATATCTATTTTCATTTTCAATTATATTAATCAATTATTATTACTCGCAGTTATGAGCATTCTTTTAAATACTAATCTACGATCTAGTAATTTTTCATATTTCGTATAGTCAAATTTGTTATTTAACTATAAAAAATAAAATAAGGGCGAGAGAAATACAACATATAATATGAAAAAGGCGTATTTTTTATGTTGCGTTTAGTATTTACAAAAAAATATTGGTCATTTCAAAATTTTCAAAAATTATTTTAAAGAAAATTTTTTCTATTATTATGTATGTTTTTATAAAAAAGTATACTTGTCTAAATAAGGAGGTTTTTTTATATATACTTTGGGATATTGTTGAATAGAATATATATATTTAATTTCAAGATAAAAAATATCATAATTTTACGGCATATTTTTCTAAAACAAATCTGAGAAGTTTTAATATTACATAACATTTTTGAACATAATGCTGTTATAATTTTTTACAAAATAGAATGTATTGTTCTAATTTTCTTTTATTGTCTTAAAAATTTATTATTATCTATTATTATTTAATTAAAAATTTATTATTATCTATTATTTAATTAAAAATTTATTATTTATTATTTAAAAATTTATTTTTATTTATTCTTTGTTCATGAGTCACGAAAATCATTGATAATTTTAATAAAAGTATAAAGTATGTACATTTAGAAATCTTAATATTTTCTCATTGGAACAACAATGTTTTGTTATCTTTTGTTGTCATGCTATGTTTTAAAACATTTTCACCAAACATCAATTTATAAAAATATTTTGTCCGCACTAAAGCAATATTCTATCTAAAGAATATTTCTATTTTGTTTCTATTTGAAGACCATTTATTGCCAGCAACTAATTGTTCTTGTGTTCTGTATTTTGCGCCATTCATATGGTGTAGTGGAGAAACCAGTGTGGTGTTTTTGTTGTCGTGTATTTCATAAATTTTTTTGATCTTATCGATTTAAATAGAAATAAGCAACAAGGGATGATATTTGTTGCTGAAAAAGAAACACAATACAATAGGCAATACAAACACAAAGAAACCAAAGAGGAACATTTGACAACAAAGCGTGATTTTTTAAAGAGATATGGTACATCAACAAAAAACTTCTTAATGTTGCTTGGGCGAAAATGCAGCTTTAAAATTCACCTAAAATTATTTATTTGAATCTTAGAAATTAAATATTTAAATTATTATAAACTATTACTCGTAATAGTGGTAATTATATCTTATATATTTTTAGGATTTTATGAAAAGAAAATATATATTTTAGAGAAATTATATATTTTTAGGACATATGAAAAGAAAAATCAAAACTTATTGAATTAAAATCTTTTATCTAAATCTTTACAGCTAAAGAATTAACTACATTTTTTTAATACCGATCAAAAAGTTGTCTTTCAAAAATAAAAACAATATCGTCATTTCATTTTTTATGTTTATATGTATTAAAAATAAGCTAATGATAGCGATATTAGAAATATACATTTTTTTATAAGAATTATGGAACAGTTTATGTACAGGGTGCTACATTTATTTGAGAACAGTGGAATATTTTTTAGACGTGTTATCAAAAAAATGTTTTTACAAAATTTATGAAGGAGATCATTATTAAATAAATACACAGATTTCAAAATTAAGCTAATTTTTAAAAAAATGGAATTTTAGATTTTTTTCATACTGTGATGACGTTTATTGAGACGATAATGATATCACAAAATAGTCAGGAGTTACTTCAAGATAAGATGATCTTACACTGACATTTATCAGTCTTTCATTTCTCTAACTTAATTTGTGTTTTGTTGTCAAATTGACATAATAGTAAAAAATTAGGTTCTTATCTACAAGAAAAGATAAATAGTTAAATTTATAGATTCTTTTATTAACAGTAAATAGACTGAACTTCTATTCAATTGCATATAAACTCATAAGTAGAGATGTTTAATTTAATATCTTATACTTATCGTGATCTTATACTTTTTATAAAAAAATGTATCAATTTGATAGAAGGGGCGAATGAGAATGAAACAAATTGCAGTCAACAATCCGAAAGAGGCGATATTACTTGATTCTTTCCTATACAATCGATAATTTATGACATTATATTACACTAAGTTATATTTATCACAAGAAAGGTTATCATATTATGAACAAGAAAAATATAAGAAAAATATAATTCTGTTAAAAAAATTATTTTGATCTCGAAATCTGTTTTTACTCCATTAACGAAAAAAATATCTGTCTCAAATAATGTCGTTTAACAATTTTTTTTAACAATTATCGCATAATATCTTTGTTCACGTAAAAATTACAAATTTCACTGTACTAGATAAGATAATTTTACAGTTGTTGAGAATTATCCGTTTAATTATATTCTATGAATTGCTAGAAAACTTGAATAAATACATTTGTATCGATTTTTATGTATAACAGAACTTTGATAATAAAGGAAAATATGTTATAACGAATAATAATAAATACATTATAGTAAATAATAAAATAATAGGATAATAAATTAAAGAGGATGAGAATAGCTTGCATCTTTTGTTATCATTGTTATTTGCTTCGCCTGGCTAGTTGGTGGCGGCTTTTAAACAATTTTTGGAGGTGTTTTGGATCAGTGACTAACGGGGTTGTGCGTGTGTGTGTGTGGATGGTAGGACTTGGACATGCTGGCCGCTCAACTCAACGAGCTTGGTGTGTCACAGGGCCCAGAGGCCCCGCCAAGGCCGAACAGGCAGCATAAGGCTGCATCATCAACATCCAATTCCGGTCAACCTGCAAGCAGCAACGATCAAAACAATAAGCAAATGCCACAGTCTTCCAGTATACTTGATCAAGTTAGTACTATAATTATATATACGCGTAGTAGCATTAGAGCGTTATAATTTTCTCCAAATATTTCAGTCTCGTATTGGATAGTATTTCAGTTTCGTATTGAATAGTATATATCATGCAATCTATACTTTTATCTTGTTATTCAAGGTTGGGAACATTTTTTTTTTTTTTTTGTTTTTATAGGCTTTGTCTGTTGAAAGCGACAGTGATGACGATCTTGAAGATGCAGGAGGAAATAATGCAAGGAACGACGGTACACTGCTTGCTAGTGACCCACCGAAACCTTTGTAAGTAAAGAAATTAATTTACTAAAATCAATTCGTGAATATCTGTATGCTTAGTGATAACAGACACTTGATAATCAAAAAGTAGCAAAACAAAAATTTAAATTTAACAATTAACTTCAATAATGGATGGTATTTAATCTTTATAGCAAAATACAAATTTTTCTGATTCTGTTATTTACTTGATTATGGTACAGCATAACTTTTTAGAAATTAGAAAGTAAATCATTTTCACTGTTTTATAAAAATACGAAAACATGCTTAATCAAAATCTTACATTCGAAATTTCTCAAACATTATTTTGAAAGTTATGAATATATTTTTTTCTTTTTGTGTAATGCGATTTGGTGAACCTGCAGAAAAGTATCTTCATTATAAATGAAGACTTATTTTAAACAGTAGCATTGGAAGATTAAATTAAATCAATTAATTTATTGTCTACAGTGACTAAATTTTATTTATCAGCATAAACATGACAGAAATGATGTATTTTGCTCTCAAGAGACAATCGTGTTAAATTGTATTTTTTTGGAGAAATTTGTTTATTAACTGATTAACAGTACCGGAAAAAGTTCGTGCGGATTTCTATTATAGATTAAAATTCAAACAGAACCTTTTGAATTAATTTTGTTTGATTTTTATTTGAAGTAATCACCGTTTATTTCTATCGCCTTTCAGCATTCTACAAATTTCTTTTTTTATAAAGTTTTACTAGCGAAGAATTAATTATTTTTAAAAATTTGATATTGATAAAAAAGTGATAACTATTTATATGGTGATAGATCAGGATTGTAAGGAAAATGAAGCAAAACTTCCCATCAAATATCTTTTATTTTTTGACAAGTTGTAGAAGCAATGCGAGGCTATGTATTGTCGTGTAGTGCATTTCCACAAGGTGGAAAGAAAAGTTTATCCGTGGCTATCATGGATGAATTCTACACGTTCGAGTTGATGGAAATATGTATTAGGGGTGTGCGGGTACACTCGACATTTCGGGTTCGGGTCGAAAGTTTGTGATACTCGGGTACCCCAAAAATCTATAATATTCGGATACCCGAATATTACATCATTGGTCAGAGTGATAATTTTTCAATCAGATTTTATATTTATTCTTTCAAATTTATAAATATTTTTGTATTCTATATAAGTGAAATTAAATTTTAAAAATCCACAAGCAAAGAAAACAGTTAATAATATTATATGAAAATATTATATGAAAACTATTTTATTTTAAATTACTGTGAAGAAAACATAATTGTTAAACTTTTCGGGTATTAATTTTGTTCGCGTGGCTATTACAACGTTGCCAGTATCTGACAATAAGCCTTCTTTTATTTGGGTTTCCTTTTTAGTCGGTCGAAAGCCGAGAGTTGCCAAGAACACTTGACATTGTCGTCGCAGTTATCCATGCATCTTTTTCTTTTAAGTTAATTTAATATACATTGTATACGCGAGTTTCCTGTGAGTTTTATTTTCTATTTATTTCCGAACTCTTCGTCGGAAACCACTCAAGACTGCTCATGTTTACTGACGATGTAGAATTTTTGTGATACCTTATAGCTGTGTAACTTAACAAAACCGATAGTTTTTCCTATTCCGCATAAATAAAGAAACGCTAATTTATTTTTAGAAAACATACTTTCCCGAAAAAGTAATATAATTTACACTTTACGATCAATCGAAAATCATTATTGAAGTATTCATTCAATAGAATCGCATACAAGCTGCATTAATTATGTCGTTGAGTAAATGCGGACTGAATACTCTTATTATGCCTGCTTTTTTTTATCATTGACAATGGTAGCAATATTGTAAATTCAATTGAATCCACTAAAGATTGAAGAAAAAATAAGTGTAAAATCCGATTGAAAAATCACCCGATTCGCGACGTAATATTCGGATATATAATATCTGAATATTATAGATTTTAGAGTTCCTGAGTCGAATCGATTTCAAATCGTGAGAGTGAGTTATTGTAAATTGTTACTCTACAGTTGTTATTCTCCTTTGTTAAATCTTGGCATTTTTGAGCGGTGCCATTTCTTCAATATTTTGTTAAAATCAAGTATCTTTTGGTTTGAATATAAATATTCTTGCAGCTCATAATATTCAATAACAGATAGACGTTGTTTTGAACGTGTTTCGTCTTTTAGTGATTCATTATTTTCTTTGGCTCGCTTGAGCCATTGCTTCTCTTTGCTGGAGAATTTTTAAATTTTTATTCATAGAGTAAAACTGTATTATTTTTATCTTTTCGTCATCTATCTTTAACTTTATATAAACATCGAAAAATTGTATCATGAATGTAACTTTCCACTTTAATATACTAACTCCATGTATAAAACTTGTGAATTACTCACTAAAATCCAATTTCATTTCATTTGCACGAATTTTTCCGGTACCTAATAAATTACTTACATACTAATGATGCTCCCTAATAAAAATTTATTACATTTAGTTAATTATGTATTTGAAACACGTAAAAATTTAATTTAAACTTATGAAAGTGATTTGAATTTGAAATCTAAGTGTAATAAAAAAATTGTCTTTAAGGTTATAATATTTATAAAACAACTAATAGTTTGAAATAAGGATATTTGAAAAGTATGAAGATTTATCTTACTTAAATTAAAGAAATTATTTCTAAAATTGTATTTTGTTGTTTTTATTTTTACTAATTTAACAATAAAATAATTACCATTAATATTTTTGACTTAGTTTTTGGCTATTGTAGTGCAAATTGATTATAAAATTTATCTGATCGAATATTATGAAATCTTGCTATAATATAGCTATTAGCCTTTTATTTTTATCAGTGGATTAATATTTTGGTAATTAGTAACAGTTCTATGTTTCCTGTAATGGTGCTTTTATAGAAAAAATTTATAACGAAAAAATATTACAGAAAAAATATTATAGAAAAAATTTATAGAAAAAAGTTTTACAACGAAAAAATAAGTTAGGAAATGGGAGACAAAAGGATTGATTTTTGAATTCTACTATCATAGGCAATTAGGTAAAACAAAGAAAACTAACATAATACTTTTGATAAAAGTATTACGTACCACCATAGAATCGTGAACCCCAATATATAATAGATATTGTTTAAAATTAATGATCATCACTAATTGTAACAATTAAAATCTATTTAGAACTTTTTTGGAAGCTTTATGATATCAATTTCGAATCAATTTTCCTCTATAGTTTAATTTAAAAAAAGATTGTCTTCTTATAGAGGAGAACACTAATAATTTATAATTAGTATGATGCGAAAATATTTTTTAAGTGAGTATTCTAGTATAATGAGTGCCTTTTTATACTTCTTTACAAATGTATTTCTTTTACAAAAATTTAATTAAATGATATTAACATTGTTCTTACATACTTACTGTCTCTACATATTTACTTGTCTTTGATGAATGATCAAAAATTATTTTGTTTGCAAATTAATTCCTGAATTAATTGCAATTGTTTGCAATTTGAAAATTAATTTTTGGTATGTAAAATAGATACGTTGATGGTTGTCACGATTAAAGTCGTTCTGCTTATTAGGAACAAAAAAATTTAATTGATTCTTAATTAACATAAATATGATTAAAGCAGGTATCAAAAAGAAAGTAAGATATTGAAAATTTAATAAGATAAGAATTCGATTTTTCTGATTTTTTAAAAAATTGAAAAATTAGAAGAAGATACATTTTGGCACGATTATGACATACATATGTTCTGAAGACGCATGCAGACTCTGAGTTCAAGCAACACAGCAGTTTTTAAGATCGTGATAACTATTTCGAGAAACGTTGTTTCGAAAAAACGCGTTCAAAGTTTTTAAAGTTTTATTTACATTTCACACAGAGATAATTTTATTTGCCATTAATCCATCATGTTTCTGAAATGTACTTTTGATATGCAAAAAACAAAAGATCAATTTTTTGGGCTTGTTACTCTAGAACAGAGATGTGTAACTAGTGGCCTGCGAGCCCTTTCTTGATCGCTAGCGCTATTCCCTCCACTGCATCGATCTCTCCACTTGCTTAATAGGGAAATCAACAATAAGAGAGTGGGACTTATGCACGGCGAGGAAATTTCAATGTAGTGAAGAGATCGATGCAGTGGAGAGAATAGCACTAGCGATCAAGAAAGTAGGGGCAAAGGCTCGCGGGCTACTTATCCCTGCTCTAGAATACCCCTTAACTCTCTTCGTACCTTACAATTTTTTTATACATATCGTCTAGAACAAAGTATTGTCGTAGGAAGGGACGTGTAAAAATCTTGGTAAAACAAACATACTACTTTTTAGTATGTACATAGTTTTAGAAACATTTTAAAAATAAGGTGCCAAAAGAAAAGCCGAAATATTCAAATATGTAAAAAAATGTTTAAAATATTAAAATATGTTGGCTCTTGAGTACTAAAAGGATTAAACTTAAAATTTATGTTAATAAATAAAATTAATTGTTAATGACGATAAAAATTAACTTTGTGCGCATGTGGAATGCATATGACTCCAACTGTGGCTAAACCAATTAGACTTTGATGTTAAAATCGATTTAAACATCTAAATGTTACAACTTGTAGGAATCGAAAAAATTGAATTATACATATATAGTTTGTTTAAGCAGTCACACATTTGATTTAACAAAATTAATGTGACGAAGAATAGTTTCTTATATTTTTGAAAAATATCTTTAACAAATTATATTCAATATTCGGTTTTGTTCGGTTTTGTTTTTGGTTTTATTTTACCAAAATGTTGGAAATCAATGAAAAATTTGCAGAACTAAATTTTTATTAGAAAATTAAAATGTAAATAATTAGAGATATATCAAGTTTATTATCAAAACTTTATTACAGATAAGAGATATCTAATTTTCCAAATATCTTTTTATAATACCATTGATTCGGGAAATATATACTTCAAGTAATTTAAATTGCTGATTTTCAGTTTGCTCATTGCTACGGGATGTTCTTGAATTAAGGCAATAAAATAGTAGCAGATATTT